CACAATCGACCATATCAGTCGAGCAACTAGCACGATTAGCAGCATTAGAAAAGGACCGAGTGGAGTCGATCCTGTCGATCCAAAGCTTGGAGCAGCAAAAGAGCGCGCTGGAGCAGCAGGTGCTTTCCATTCTATAAAATGGGTATTATATGCTTAAGGAGTTCTTACACAGTGTTGCTTACTGTGTCGTTAGGTAGCACAAGCGAATATCGCGTTACAGATGTCTTCAGAACGACTTGAGAGCACAGAGAGTCAACACCAAGACCTTATGACGGCACTCAAGAAAGATTTCCAGGAACAGGTCTGTTAAGCGAAAACCTGGATACAAGGTCACTGGAGGCTAATTGTTGTTGCCGTAACTAGGTCAAAGCATTGGGAAATCACGCGACAGATCTTCAGAACTCACTAGCAGCAACAATTGAGCGATATCGCTGCTTAGAGAAGACTGCGAGTCAGGAGAAGACCCAGCTCAGACGTGACAAGCAGAAACTCGAGCGACTTGTCCGTCTGAAAGAGGACGAAGTCCATCAGCGACTTGCAAAAGCAGAGGTCCAGACTCAGTCAGCTCAGACGCAACTGCAGCTTGTCACCAAGCAGCTCAGCCATGCGCAGCAAGCACAAGAGGCTCTCCGACTAGACCTTAAAGCAGCGCAGACTGACTACAAGCAGCTTCAAACGACAATAAGCGACCTCCATCATGACTTGACAGTTCGCAATGAAGACATCGCAAGCCTGAACGCGACACTTTCTTTAGCGAATATCTCCGTAGAGAGCAAGACGCGGTTGTTACAGCAAGCGGAGGCTCGGATCGAAGCGAGTTCCAGGGAGATGGAGCGGCAACAGACAATTGTGGAAGAACACGCGCAGCAAATACATGAGCTGGAAACCAAACTCAGTCGGTCGATCCCCGTTGACGACGAGGAGCTACAGAGTCGCCAACAACGAGAAGAAAGCGCGTGGCATCAACGCGTTTCTGCCTTGGAGCATGTTCTCGTGGCGGAGCGACAACACACGGCGTTATTCCGAGAGCAACAGCGCAAGGCAGTGCAAATGGAGCGAGAGAAGGCAACGCATGCTGTCGAGCAAGCTCAAGCGGTTGCGGCTGAGCTTGCCACCGCTAACTTGTGCTTATTGGAGCGTAAACGTCAGCGTGAACAGGAGCAAGAAGCCTTCCAAGTGACGTTGAAAGAGTACGCTGGTCGAATAGCAGGCCTTGCATCGGACAAAGATGCGTTAGAGCGCGATATTGAGGCGCTCCGATCGCAATATCAACAGCTCCAACACTTGAAAGAGCAAAGTGTCGAGGAAGCTGCTGACAATGACAAGAAGCTGAAGGAGGAGCTAGCGACGGTACGAGAAGAGCTCAAGAACTTGACGGAGATCCGCGAGAATTTGGACCGAGCACTCGCTCACGCTTTGGCGACACCAAGAGGGAAGTCTGCGCGACACCAAGCAAGCATCTCCGAGCTTCGTGTGGAGTTGCAGAAGGCAAAACAGAAGATCGCGACACTGGAAGCACAACTTTCTCACAATGGGAGTTCCCGTACGAGCGAAATCGATGGGAAACTCGCTCAGTTGAGCGCGCGCGAGAGGCGTGTGGTTGAAGAGCAAAGGTTTGGCTCATGCCGTCCGTATGATTGAGGTGTTTTCTTTACTGTGATGTTTGTGTGCGTAGAGGGCTGAAGAAGCAACGGGCGAGTGCGCGTATGCAGCTGGAAAAGGAGCGAGCAGAACTGGAGCAGCAGCGCGAGTCCCAGGACGCAGTCGACTGCAAGCAAAAGACGCACCATGCGCTTCTCCAGCAGATCATCCTGTTGCTGGCACAGCGTCTGCAGGTCATGATGGCGCTGTTTGAGACGGAGCATGTACCTACCTTAGACCAAACACAAGGTGCTTCTGACCAGGAGACAGCAGCCTTTACTGCTGTAGAGGACGTTGAGAGCTGGCGTGAAGTGCAGCAACAATGGGGAAATGTGCATAAGGCGCTACAGCATGTTGACTGGAAGTTGGAGGAAATGCGCAGTCAACTAGAAGCGTTGTATCTCGAGTACGTGGGGGTCTCGTTGGCTCCACTAGGTGAAGACCAGCAGTCGTCTCGCTCGTCTTTGCTGTCTGAATTCCACGGCCCCAACCCGTTCTCAGACGCCGTGGCCGCTGGACGCGACACTGTCCCTGTCGCCGAGCAGTTAAAAGCGAGTCGCTTGCTTCAACGCCTGTCCCGAGTGAAAGGTTTGTCAAGCGCTAAGTCCAAGTTGTCCACCGTTAGGTTCACTGATCTCTTGTGCCTCGTTTTAGCTCTAGATCACGAGACATTCGCGTTGGCTCTGGCGAGGGAGATGGCAGCGATGAAGAATGGATACGAGCAGCAGCTAGAGGAGCTGCGTGGAGAACTCCGCAAGACGCAGCAACGGCGGCAGCTGACCGGACAGCGACTTCGCACCGAACTTGCGAACGAGCGCAGTCGCAGTCAGCAAATAGTGGCACAACTACGAGAGCGCATTGCCGAACTGGAGGCGGCACTGGGAGACCAGGAGAAGGCATGGATAGCTATGCAGACACAGCAGCAGGCGATCCTCGACCAGCATGCGGCGGCGACATGCGACGACGAGCGTCAACGCGCGCTACAGGAGCTGGCGGAGCTCGTGGGAAGTGATCAGCGGCGTCGCGAGCGTGAGCGACTTTCCAAGCTGTTAGCTTACTGTGGGGCGTCGTCCGTGACTGTGGAGCGCCGAGACCGCGCGCTTGAGGAGGAGACGGTGGACGCGGTCCTGGCAGCGCATGAAGTGGATGTTGAAGAGCTGAATCATTGATGTTTTGGAAAAGCGACGTTGAAGTGAGAATGCAACAGGGATTTGCAGCCTTCGGGAATGAGTTGGGTGCATCAATGGTCACCTACTCATTCAGAGGTTTTGGCATCGCAGGAAAAAATACCTCGCGAAAACGGATTTGTCAAATACCTTGAGGACATTGATTGCTAAGTCGAACATAAGGAGAATTTTGTTGATGTGACGATTTGGTATTTCCGTGCTCCTATCGGTGCTACTTCGAAGCTGCACTACATGTAGCACGAAGTTCTGGAGTAGTTTGCATCTCCACAAAATAAATGAACATATCCGCGACTCGTAATTACCTGCTAGCGGGATCTTGCGGGGGGGGGTGATGCTCGCAGGCTGAAGTGATTGGACGCCACCCATCCCGACCCAGTGTGCACCAGCTTCAGCTGAGTTTCCCCTCCCTGCCCATCGATCAGCTGACAAGCTCGCATCAGCGCCGCTGATTCAGCGGCATAACGACCTGACCAACAACCAAGTGATCAGAAGCAAACAAATCAAACCAAAGCAACGCCAGCACCATTCATTTGGCGCAAGCAGATTCGAAACGACCATCGTTTCAAATGAGTTTTGTTCCAGCCTGGGCTTGAGCTTGCATATCTTTGTATGGGGCGATGCGCCGGACAGGGAAGCCACGTCAGACTTACCTCCGGCTCCAGCTCTTTTGCCCTCGCTCGTCGAGTCGACGGTCGGCATGCAGCACCGGCACGTTGATGTTAAAGCGTCCGCCGTTGAGACCTTCGAGATCGCTTGGATTCCAGCCTGGAACCACGAGTTCCAGACCAGCTGGAGCCTGGAGACCACCACCAGGTAACCTGCTACGTGTACGAGTCCAGAGTGAACTGGATTGTTTGGATGTTTTGGACCCATTTGGGTGATGTGTTGTTGCTCACAAAATTGCAATAATCGAAGCCTATCGCGACCGACTCAAAATGCCTGCACAATGATGCCTCTAAATCGGGCGCAGCAGACGATGAATATGGGCCGGTGTTTGGCAGAGCAGTTGTACACCACGTCCCGGCGCATCCCTGTCGGAACCCTTTCTCACGTTTTCGAGCTGAACTGCCCGCGGTGGATGGGTTGCAGTGCAACTTGCACGCAATGTGAAGCAGATCCGGCTGTGAGTTGGCGACCTGCGAGGCGGCAGTTCCTGTCTCTGTTGGCAACAAGCAAAGCATATTTTGCGTTTTGGCAGCGGGGTGGCAGCTTTCGCCAATATTTTCGCTGGCAGCCACTTCCACTATTAATTCACGAATCGCCCAGTCCGTTTTTATGTGCAGTCAGAGCGAATCGCATGGAGGCGGCAGCGAAGAAGTTTTGCCACCTTCTGATTGGCCAGAGACGAGGCAGTATCTTTTACAACAACTCTTCAAGAACATTAACCTTGGAAGAAAATTTTAGAGTACACATGTAGGTGTTCAGCAAAAACAAAGTTTGCTGAGCCTTTCAGCTAGACTTTTCCATCTAAAATTATTCGCGATACGCTAGACATCTCCAACAAAGCAAACTATCAGGCGAGATCGTTTTACCAATCTGTACGTACATCTAGAATAATAAAAGCACATCTTATCCCACTAGCTAACTTATGCCACAGGGTTCACTGACTGAAATTGTTTTAACTACTGTAGTTGACAAATAGAACCAGTAACACTGTATTAATGTACCATGCGTGCTCTTCTCAACCTAATAAAACCATTGATTTCGTTTTTTCTTTCAGCCATAATACTGTACCACGCATGTAATGTCATTTGTTAAGCAAATTAAGACGCAAAAAACAACTTAAGCAACATGTAAATAAATAGAAAAAAATTAAATGATTAAAACTTAGGTGTAATTTGCTACAGTAAATATCGCGATAGCAGCAGCCTGGCTGTCACATGCACCCGTCTCTGCCCGCATCCCATCTGCTATTTCCTTTTTTTATCTAGGGTTTTGTAAGCAATTGTGGATCTCCTCACTGTCTCCCCTCTCGCCCAGCCTACCCCTACCGGTGCTTTTATGGCAGCCACACTTGTGTTCCCCACACCAGTCTCCCACAAGTCCCCAATTTACTGTCACTCTTCATTTTGCGCGGCGCTGAGCAGGTCTCTTCTTGAGTGTCGAAACTTTTAACTTGTTAGCTCAAGCCTGACGAGACATGGACTGGATGCATCCCCGTGACCAGCTTTTGCACGGATCGGCGCCTGCCTCCGCGCCATCCTTCAAGCTTGTGGACTCTAACAACCGCGTGCGCGAGCTCACGGACCCACTAAAGCGTCAGTTGGGCGCTTCTTCCGCTTTCTATCAGCCCCAGATGAACGACGACGGACTCTCGGCGGCGGAGTTGGAGGAGCAGCGCCAGCTTGAACAGCAACTGCAGGTTCAAAAGGAGGAGATGTGCTTTATTTCGCCACTTCCGCGTCCCGACGCCACCCGTCTGCGCGTGCCTACCACGTCGCACGCCTTCACGTATGGCGGTTCTAGCTCGTCCAACCTGCACGCAACACCGCCTTTGGCGCCTCCTGTTTCTCCGTTCGCCAGCATGGCGCTCTCGGCGCCCGCTGCGCCCATCGGAAAGACCCACAACCCGTTTCTGAGTGCCACAATCGAGAATAGCCCGCGTCTGCCGTCTCTAAACGCGATGCGCAACTCGCCAGGCACACACTTGAAGCCTCTGGGCATCGCGTCACGTCCCCCGCCGCTCTCATTGCGTTCGTTCTCGGACGTGTCGACGCTGTCGTCGTCGTCACAGTCCTCTCCGTCGCCGTCGCCGATCCACCATCCGCAACTACTGCACCAACACCGCCCCAAAGCCCCGTTGCGCTCGATGTCCAACTCATCACTCTCTTCGGCGACCAACACGTCGCCTATGGTGTACTCGCAGTCGCTCCCAGGCGTGTCTTTCCTCCAAGACAGGAGACGGTCGCGTATGTCGTTTGACGGTGCCGAGCGCATGTCAATTTCATCCGAGGACGAGGACAGCGGCATGCGTCTCCTCAGTTCGAGTGTGGGCCGCAGTGAAGGCAGCAGTGACGCAATGACAGCCGCGGCAAACGCTGCGGCTCAGGCGGCACTAAACAGCGGCTCGCGTAGTGGCCGTGTGTGCAGATATGCGAACTGCAGCAACATTGCTCGTTCTCGTGGACTATGCCGCACACACGGAGGTGGCAAACGGTGCTCACACCCGAGCTGCAACAAAAGTGCACAGGCGAACCGAAAATGCATCGCACACGGTGGCGGCACTCCCTGCTCGTTCGAAGACTGTGAGAAGACGGCACAGTCGCGTGGACTGTGCAAGGCGCACGGTGGAGGCGCTCGTTGCAAACACCCGGACTGCCCCAAGAGCAGCCAATCCAAGGGACTGTGTCGTGGCCACGGTGGTGGCATCAAGTGCAAGGCTGAGAGTTGCGAGAAGTGGGTGCAGAAGAACGGGTACTGCATCAAGCACGGCCGTGAACGCGCAATGTCCTGAGAAATCACCTAGCTCCCTTAGTACTGCTGTTGTGCTGTTCAGTGGCTGTCTGGAGCGGGTGGATTGTTGTTTTTCATTTATTCGGTAACGGGTGCGAAGCGTTTCAAGTTTGGAGCGCGTGCGTTGAAGAAGGCAGAAGAGGAAGGACCAACTAGCTGAGCCGAGTGAGCTTGGTGCGTGGAAAGTATTATTGACACCCGAGAGTTATCAAAGCCTACAGAGGCATGTATATATAAGTGACTTTGATTTACGTTTTGTCATATTCTTGGTCCTTTGGCTATGATAAGACTTTTGCTATAGAATGATTCCCGGTGATTGAGGTGTCCATCATGAGCAAAGCATCTATTTTAGGGTATGCACTGCATACTATGCAGTAGCTAAACTGTGAGCGCGACAGGATGGAGATCGCGGTGCGAGTGGTGCGTGCGCGGGTGTGGCTGTCCAGTTCTCAGTTCCTTCATCAAGATGGGTTATTGTCGCTTACTCGTGTTGGCGAAACTGAGAGCGTTGCACATGCAACTCTGCGCTCCGTACAAGGGAAAAATGGGGAGCAGTGCTCACTTGCGGAGGTGGCGCAACAACTAGATCAACACAAATGCTACCGTACTGTAACAGCAGCATGGGAAGATCCAGGCATCACGTCTGGCAGCAACTGTCCAAAGTTCTCCTTGCCTGAAGAGCTGGCTGCTCAAATAAACCCCAAGGAAAAGGCAAACAAGCAAATTAATTTGCCTCGACTGGACTTCCAGCTATTTCTTCTAAAACCGCGCTCACGTGGAGGAACCTCAGCGCGCTCAGGACCGATGACCGTGTATCTTGGGTCGAGCGGGTGGCAATTAAGCGAGAAAGATGTGGAAGCGTTGGTGTCTTCTCGAGAGGTGGTTTTTCTCACGACACTTCAGAACGAGCTTGGAACACTGGAGGTGAAGCTTCGGTGTGTAGGCTCGACTGATCCTCGTCGGTTGCAAGGCAAGGGTATAGCTGCTGAAGACGATGCCGACATCCCCACAGGCTTCACCATTAACTGGAGCTCTAGTGAGGTGCTGCAGAAGGGTCTGGCTGAGAAGGGTGAGTCGACAGACAACTTTAAAGTATCACTACATTAGTTCTGATAAACTTGTTCGTGTAGCTCGACTCAAAGAAGAAGCAGACAAGAAGCTAATCGTGCAGCTCAAGCAAACAGCCAGCAAGGCAGCAAAACTTCTTGAAACCCGCGACTTGTTGCTTGTCCACATACATCGCTCACGAGCTGCCTCCATTATTCAGCGTCGAGTTCGTCTACTGCAATACAAAACGAAGGAAATTATCACGAAGTTGCGTCAAGAAGAAGAGGCACGCATTGCGGCGAAAAAGGCGAAAGTAAGGGAAATAGTCATCGCGCGTAACCGCGAACGTGCACTTGCCATGCGTGCTCGTCTTCTTGGGCATCTCGACAATAATAGGTCCTCTAAGAATGCCACACCAGACGATCCACCAGCGTTAAAGCGGATAGTGGAGTACATGGAAACTGAGCGAACAAAGTTGAAGCAAAAACTGGAAGTTCTCGAGATGCAGCGCCAACAGCTAACGAAAAAGCTAGACCGGCCTTCTAGAAGTGCTCAGCATTCGCCATACCAACGCAACGACCGATTTTTCGACGACGAGCTTGTTCGTGCCGTACAGGAGCTGCATTTCACCCGAACACACAGCAACCAAATGTAGCCATAATGTAGCCATTTCTAAGAGAAATCGTACTTTGACGAAGCCAAAACATTATGTAGCGCTAGTGTGTCAGACACTCGATTTTGCACTTCGCCCAGCATGGCGAACATGACGCTGAAGCACAATGAACTCGCCGCTGCTACAGCGGTACCGCAACTCCACATAAAGTAAGAAAAATTGTTCCGAATCTCCATAATCTTAGCTGGCGAATGATACCTTTTTAGCTCATTAGTCCCACCTACAAGCTGAGATAATACACATTCTAATTTACGCTCGCTTGTGTGCTTTATGACGACCAGGAACTTCGTGTGCTCTGCCAATTTGGGCATGCGCTTCGACTTGACCAATCTGCTGGTCAAGTCACATCGACGTGCAGAGCTAGTGCCCAAGAAGAATTGCATTCTAATGAAACTCCACAACCCCAAGGCCACTGCAATGCTCTTCGCCAACGGCAAGCTGGTCTGCACGGGTGCTGAGACGGAGGACGCCATCAAGAACGCGGCCCGCAGGTTTACACAGGTTATCCAGAAGATGGATTTCCCAGGAGTGAACCTTATCGACTTTAAGATCCAGAACGTGGTGGGAACGTGTGATATGGGCTTTCGAGTGTTGGTGGAGGCCCTCGCCTTCGCTCACAGTGACCGCTGCACGGTGAGAAGTTGCTGGTCAAGAGGATAGTATGCTGCTGTGATGATTAAAAGCTTTTTTTTGCTGGATAGTACGAGCCAGAGCTGTATCCGGCGTTGATCTACCGCTTAGAGAAGCCACAAGTGAAAGTCCTGGTGTTTGTGAGCGGTAAAGTGGTCTTTACGGACTCGAAGGAACCGCGAGAGTTATATTCTGCCTGCGAAGCTATCTTCCCGGTATGTTGTTACGTAGTTTTGTAAAAATTTAAGTGACAAATGGCTTAACGGTTGATCAATTGTCGTCAGATTCTTGCGCAATTTAAGGATTCAAAGCCTGTCGACCCTGTTAATACCAGTGACGAATTGTCGCGTCACCATTCGAAGGCTGACACATACGATGAATCTCACCTAGGATAGATGGCTGTGAGTGTCAATTTGTTTTTCTTAAATACGTGAAGTACTTAAGAGTAGTTTTTCATTGATATGCGCAAAACAAAATTATCTTCCGCGGGTCTTTAGAAGCAAATCTTCTTGCTCTATTTCTCATCGCCGTCATGGCTAAACATCAGTATTTTAACGGAAAGTGGTCTATGGCCTTTCGTACCTAAGCCCGAAAAGTACGCCTCTGAAGGACGCAGAAGGCGCTGATCTTTAGCACTTTCGAGTACATACTGCTGCTATCAAACAAAACTTGCCGAAATTCGTGAATACGAATGTAGAGTAGTCCAGGATGTGGATTCGCTGGTAATCCAAAATGCGTCTTGTAGGCGCTACATTTTTGTCATGAAAACTTGGACAAACCTGCAATATCTTCGGCACTCATCTAATAGACAGCTGCGCTGTAGCTTGTGTCTGTAAGATAGAGGCTTTGGCTGTTAGTATATTATTCTGCTTCAATTAAAAGACCTTGACCCTCCTTATCGTATCGCCACAAAAAATCACATGAATCAAAAATACGTCTATGAAATGGGCTAGCAGAGGCTGCTCGCGGTGTGGGCCTAAAAAGTGTTGTCTGTCTACTTGATCTTGGCTGCGTTGGCCTCCGGGAGCCGCTCAATCACAAATTTGCGGTTGGAAATATACATGATAGGCACACCGGGCACCTTACGGATGCGGCGTTTAAGTTCACGATCACACGTCGCGACGACGTAGCAGCGGTGCTGCTGCACGCGCTGAACCAGGCAATCATCGGCGTACGTGCCCTTGTGCGTGCAGGGCAGGCGCTCGAAGCGCGGATCCTTCGCTAGTCGCAATGCCACACGGTATTTGTGCCCAAGCTTCTCCAGTTCACCCATCACGCAGTCCGTGATGCACGGGGTGCCTATAGAGTTCAATAATTATTCGTGGTAAGTGAATGGAGCATCAACAATTGAGTATAAGTTTATAGTTCGGGACTCACACTTGGCTAGAAGGCAGTCCATCATGGCTGAAACGACCTCGAGCTTGTTCTTGATGGAGAAATTGATGAAATTCGTATCCACGATTACGTTGTACGGGGGGCCCAGCGCTGAGTTGTACTTAAAGAACATGTTGGACGGGATCTGGTCACTGTTAATCAACACAGCATCAGCAAAAGCAGTTAGTCTCGAGTGTCTTTTTATCTTTTTAGTAGCTGGGTTATTCATTGCTCACATTTGCTTGGGCTCCGCTTCCTTGCGTTTCTTCTCTTCTGCCTTCGCAACTGCCTTGCGCACCGAGTTGCTGTAATTACATTATGAACGTAAAAGCGTTAGATTAAATAGACTAAAGCAGCCGAGCAGCTACTTCGTACGTACATGCGGGTATCGCGAGGACTTATCATACGCTTCACAGCGGCGAACTTGCGGGTCTTCTTAGCTTTTCCCTGCAGCACCGAGCACAACAGACGCAGTAGTTAGTACACACATATATACGTCGCCTTGGTCTTTTTCTAAAAGGAAGCATCAGAGCCAGCACGCGCACCATTGTATTGAGTGTGTTGCTATGTCTTCTGTGCCAACCACCAGCAAACAGTTTATCAGCAAAATGTTACTAAAAAATGTTTCATTCATGTGGGCCACACAAGTGTCACTGATCAGTAAAAATTATAAAAACAAACAAATAACCAGCTTTGACTGATGAGCTCAAAATCTAGGGCATCAATGCGCGGGATGACGGGGTTTAACATGGAGGAGGAGAAGGACGAGGGCCACTTCGATGCAGACGGAAACTTTGTATGGGACGATGAGTCCAAGAAGGTTCAAGAAGAGGCCTGGCTGGACGACGTCTCGGAGCAGCAGATTGGTGCAGCCAAGAGCGCCAAGAGCCGACGAGAATATCGCGACGAGCAGGTGGAGGAGACGATGACGGAGGAGGCAGCCAATAGGACGCTGGCCACACTGCTTAATCCTCGCGAGACGGTGTTGCATGCGCTCAAGCGACTTGGTTCCAAGAAGTCGACGCGGATGCGACCTGGTAACAAGCGTAAGCAGGCACAGAGAAGCGAGACGGAGCCAAGCCAGACTGCGGAGGAGAAGAAACAGTTTGAACAGGTCACAGAGGCTGCAGACTTCCTCCTGAGGTCAGGAGAAGTGGATGTTTACAGTCAGATAAAGGAGGAATTTGTCCCTGAGGAGGAACTCATAGCGCAGCGGAGACGTGTGCAGTTCGCTGAAGAGACGGAAGCTAAGAGCGAGGAGAAGCCACCCAAGCAAGAAGTCATGTGGGAGTATAAAGCCACCGATGGACAGATCCACGGACCATTCCCGACTTCAAGCTTTGTGGCATGGCAACAACAGGTGGGTTTGAATAGAAGTTATGATGCTAAAGAGCTGATGGACTGAATGCTGTTGCCTTTGCTGTGAGTTGCAGGGCTATTTTAAAGGAGAGAGTGCCGTCGATATGCGGCAAGTCAGGAGTAGTGATGCTGCTGTTGAAGACCCTAGTAACGAGTCGAACAAGAAGCAGAAGCTAACGGTGTCGGCCGAGCAAGAGATGCTGAACGATTTCGAGGATAGTGACGGCGACGACGATAGTCCGACTGCTTGTGACAAGGAGAAGGCAGACGAGAACCCTTGGAAACGATCAGATACGATCGCTTTTTCCTCATATTAAAGCTGGCAGGGGAAATACAGAACGCACGTCGATCGTCCTTATCGCTACAAAAGGTAGCCTATAACTATCAGCGGCGAGATAGCTACCCAAAGTTAGTCGTCCTTCTTGGAGTATGCTCCAGCGTTGGTCCTTCGTGTCACGTTGCGAGGACTCATTCGTCTCGGCGATCCGTGGCTGCGTCGGTGGTCCATGGTCCGACGTCGTACATCCACGTTGTCGTTCAGATCTTCGTCCTCGCTAGAATCAGAGTCGTCCTCCATTAGCGGACGTTGGCTACAGTAACAACAAGAGAGTGAGTAAACCTGCAAGTCGAGACAAAGGATCGTCAAGTGCATCTCACCTCTTGGGGTCTCTGCTAGCGGGAGCGTCGTTGCGCATCTGGAAGCGCATGTACATGTCGTGCATCTTGCTCTTCATAACTGTAGACACTCAATTCAGTCAATACAGTGCACACTCATCTTCAATACACGGCCTGTACCCACCTTCGCTCATGGACGAGAACTTCTCGCTCATGGCTGTGTACGTCTCGCTGGCCATCTCGGCTGCTGTCTTCTCGGGTTGGTAAGCTTGGCTCGGTATCATTGATCGGTTGTCGTGGAAGTGGGACGAGAATTCCTCACTGGAAAGCACCTCGTCCCGGAAGATCTGGTCCTGCAGCATACGCGCCAGGATTGCGTCGCGTTCCTCCTGTTCGGACAATTCACGGTGATCGTAGGTCGGCAGCCGCAAGAAATCGTCGGGAAGCTTGACGCGGCCACACGGATGTCCACGCGGAGAAGACGACGGCGCTGTTATCGGACTGCGCGGACGACGCGGCGGAGATCTCGGAGCTGGCGGCGGCTGTGAATCGTGCGCTTCTGCGGCGCCAGGCGTCGCATCCATAGTCAGCAAAGTGTCCACCGTGCTCTCCATATTTCCTTGATGCGCCTCTAAAAGTTCCTGCAGCAGCTCTACGTCCCAGGACGGGAACATTCCACGTAGCGCGGCCAGCTCATCACGGAAGTTTTGCGCCATTTTGACTCTAATTTAGTGATGCCAAGTCTGTAAACACTGTATGAATCGATATCAACTAAAGAAGGTGCAAGTACCGTTGCTTCCAGTGTAATTCGCCGATTAGCATCATAGTCGTCATCTCGAGATGAGAGCGACACTGTTGCTAGCTGTGCTTCTGATAGGGGGAGCTGTGCATGCGGAACCTAAAGCCAAGCCCGACAAAACGTGTCGCTCGGCTGGTGTACTCAAGTTCGACGCGGAGACACTCCCCATGCAGCGCGTACGTGGAGAGTTAGCTACTCCCTGACTCTGTGTGTGAGCTTATATGTACTGTGATTCATGCGTATGATAATAATACAGACTAAGGGGATGGAGGTGTGCAGCAAATACCGCAAGAACACGTGCTGCAATGCCTCTCACGCTCATGCTCTCCGATTGTACGTACAGAGTTAGACATGGTGACTTTGCGTTGACACTCACTCGAGCTGATGGCTGCTGTACTGATGCAGGAAGATTCGGGAGCCAGTAGTAGCAAAGTTCAGTCGCAAATGCCAGGCGTTGACGGAGGAGATGGCGTGCTCGTCGTGTCATCCGCTAATGGGAACGTGGGAGATGAAGAACGTGTGTCCGAGTCTGTGCAACGACTGGTACGATGCCTGTAAGGACGAATATTACGCTTACGGAGGAGCTGGCACGGTGGCTCCATGCTATGGCAATGCACTTGTCTGCTCGCCACTCAAGTCAATTGCCAAGTCTGGTGCAGACTTCTGCGTCCACATGGGGTTCCACGTAGGCACCGATACGGACGCTGAAGGTATCGACTGCTTCGACGGATCTGTACCTGAACAAGTGGGCGAAGCAGAACCCACTGAGCCGTGGCAAATGCGACTGAAGCGTATGTTGGAAGAGGAGGCCGAGAATCCTTCCGGATTGTTCATCGCAGGCTGCTTCGTTATTGTTACGATGATTCTCATGGGCGGGAGACTTGCCAGACAGTTCGGCGATCCTTTTGGTGGCGACCAACTCAGCCTCATGGAAGTGCGTCGCTTGCAACAAGAGCGTTATGAACGCGGGGAGGAGATGTACGACGACGAGACCGACAGCAGCAGCGACGAAGGGCACGCACCGCGGTCAACGATCGACCAAGTTGACGACGACGGTGAGCCCAGCATGCCTGCTACTTCTAGTACATCATAAACTGCCACTTCACCCTCGTGGTATGCCGGTGAGGTTCGACCAGCGTAGTTGTCCAAGATAGAAGTCGAGCAACGAAGCGTAAACGTCTACTGTGAGCCATAACGTTCCGAAGCTAACAGGAGCAGCAGCTCTGCCTTTACCGCGAGAAATTGCAGAGCAACGTGGTATCCCAGCAGCACATGTATTCATTATTTACTCGTGGCTTCCTTGCGGCTCTTGCTTGTGTTGTCTTGTCCGCAAGGAGATAGATCCCCGCTAGCTCCGCTCCATCTGTAACCGCCTTTGTTCGTGACATTATGTAGCCTTCGTTCTTCTGCTTAGTCCTGGTTCTTAAGATGCTCCACGCGGGTCTTCCACTCCTCGTACTGGCATTTCTCGTAGGCGTGACGCAAGTCCTGGCACTTCCACGGGAGGAAAAACGTGGCCCGTCGGCACTCGTTCAGCGGGATCAGCAGACCAGCGCATGTATCACGGTAGTGCAGAGGCAGCTTGGCATCCACCATTTCCTGGCGCGTCGGCACACGGGGAGCTGCAGCGTTGGCGTCAATCATAAAAGAGCAAAATGTCAGAAATACCTCGTTCTAGGTCAAAATGGGGCGTGGAGAGTCGAAAATTTCGGCAACAGCCACGCAAAGACACACGCGAACCTGCTCCGCCGTGTCTTGTGCATCAATATACTAGCGTTATTCGACTACACACCTTCGTAGTGACCGCCGCCCATGCTTTAGATTCTCGCTTGTTCGCACCTCCAGAAACGCTAACTCTCCGCCCCTCGTGTTGCGACCAGTTTTAACCAATCCGAAAGCAAACAGAACATTAGTTTTTACCAATCCAAGCGTGGGGGTGTATCCATAGTAACGGGAAGTGTAAATTTACGCAGTTAGCTATAGGATGGCTATGAGTAGTGCCGCTCCTGCTCCCGTGCTACCAGCGGAGCTGCAGCAGGACCACAAGGCTGTAGGTGCTAAGGTGCGCGTGGTCACTGCCGCAAAGGAGACTTTCGAGGGTGTTATCTTCACGCTGGACCCTGTGGCTAATTTTCTCGTGCTCGGTAAGCTCGACGAAACACGCGTTGAAGCTGAAGACGCACTCTGCTGACCATACTGATCCTGTACAGAAGAGCAAGATGGAGCCAAGTGCAAGACGCGCATTTTCCAGCTTAAAGCGCTGCAGAAAGTTGAAGTGCTGGAGCATGCCCCCGCTGGACTTATGTTGACCCTTCCAGCCATCAGCTCTGACGAGCTCCTGCGCATGGAGCAGCGTAACAAGGTACTAGCCGAGCGAGCTCTGGCTTCCATTGGCCAGGGCGTATCCAGCGAAGCGCAAGTCATCTTCGACGCACTCAACAAGACGTAAGTGTGCTGGGGACAGATGAAGTGGGACAAGATCTGACTAAGGTGCTGCTAATTAGGATGCCGTGTGAGTGGGAAGGCGCCAACATCCGAGTTATGGGCGAAGTGGTGATTAAGCCACCGTACCACCCACAGAACTGCGTGAGTGCCAACACGCAGGTGCTCTCGCGAGTCAAGAAAGTGGTGAGTTGAACGATATCTTAGTCAGATGAAGAGGCCAGCAACTGATGTTGGTTGTTGTTGCAGCTGGAGGGTGAGAAGAGCAAACTGAAGAAGGCCAAAAAGTGATAGGACTGGGATCGTCGCGCTTACAGGCCTCGCGGTCGGGGTAGTCCTCTGCTTCAAAGGGGAGACGCAGTATTCGATCGCCATCGTCGAATGAGCGGACGTTGAACAGTATGAGTTGCAGAGTCGATAGGCTTGGCTCAAGTAGAAGGGAATGCCCTATGCATACTTGGGAATAAAGGAACGGAATGGAACGGGACAAACGATGTAATAAGCATCGTTTGTATGAGTAGGTGCGTCCATGCTTTGGTTTCCTGTGCTGAGATCGAGAGGTAATTGCAGCTTGTGCGATCATCTTAATCGTACACGCGTAGGTTGTACTCCAGGTGATTTACAGTAAATTACTTCTCTACAGTGCCGTCAAATCGATAGCGGCAGCGACTCGGATTTTATTCTCCAGGAACGGTTTACATTGCAGTTAGAAATCTAGAATAGGGCTGGTCTAGGTGGGTAATTACGTCATCGAATGCAACGACGGCTTACACTGCAGCTTCATCATTGATGACTACATGTACAGTAGAGTAATTGAAGGGTTACGACCAGTAAAACGTGTTGAAGTTAACCCGTAATGTCTCGTCTCATTTTTAAAACGGCCAGATCTAAACCTGCACATCCTGTTGGAATCCAGCACATCGAAGTCTGCTCAATCACACACCGGCGTAGCCAAACAGCGTGAGGCTTGAGACCATAATGAACATGCCAGCGAGCATCCCGAACGCAACGATGTGATTCTCGTCCTTCGCGAGCTTGTATGCAGCCGGAATGAGCTCCTTCACGCAAATGCAGACCATGATACCGCACACGATTCCAAACAAAATCCCTTCCGAGATCGGATCCATGCCGTCTCCGATAGCCAACCACGCGATGACTCCACCCATCGGCTCGGCGCACGCTGAGATAGTGCACCACATGATGCCACGCCAACGGGATCCAGTCGCAAAGTAGATAGGAGCAGCAACAGCAATGGCTTCCGGAATGTTGTGGAGGCCGATACCAACTGCGAGTGAGAGCCCAACTGAAGTTTTTTTGTATAGCACCGACGTACGTAGCAATGCCTTCTGGTAAGTTGTGAATACCAATCGCCAAAGCACTGAGTACACCCATGCGTTGTAGTGCAAGCTTCGCTTTGGGATCCATCTTGACATAGTGCGCGTTGGGTGTCTGGGATCCCGGCTCAAGAGCATGGAAGCTTTCGTTGTCCTTGCTGAGCTCTAACGATTCGCGGTTAGAATTCAGGTTGTCGATCTCCGTCATTTCATGTACAGGAGAGATCTTGTGCACAACCACGTCGATAGCGTAGATGAGAGCGATTCCGACTGCAAAGCATGCAGTAGCAGCGAGCCACCCGTGTCCCGTAGCCGTCTCCTCCGACATTTCATCCGTCTTGAAGCCCTCCGTTAGTAAATGCACCGACTCGCCGTAGATCTCTACCAGCGAAATGAACATCATTACACCCGCTGAAATGCTGAGAGCGATCGCCAGGCTACGCGGATTCGCCAAATGGACGAGATGCCTGTTCAAGACAACCATACCACCGAGGATCGTAGCGATCCCCGCCGCAATGTTAAGCGCGAATGCGACCCCAACAGAGTGTCCGGTTTGTATCATGACCAATAAGGTGGTGAAGTCGAATTAAGTGGTATGTCGAACGCTGCAAAATTGAGAATGAAATGAATTGCTTAGCGTCTAGAGAGCGAGCAGCTCACTTCGGATGATGTTTTTACGAGGCTCCGCCGATGTAAGAGCTATTTGGCGCTCATGACGGTTGCACCACAGCGCTAAACCAGCGTGAAAATGCTTCAGAATATGGAAATCATTAGCCGAAATTGTCTATCGGTTGAAGTGCTCCTTCCGAGCCTATGTACTACGGTTGGCTGGTGGCACGAGCATGAGCACCAGATCCCGTTGAAATTGCGATCAACACACATATTCGGTTATTAGCGCGTGCTGTAGCCCGGCGTTGAGGATATGGAGCCAGATGAATCACTTGAGATGATCCAAGTCCGACTAAATCCATGTACCCAAAAAGTGTAGTTGATGCATGATTTCACGTCAAAGGTGGTAAAAACCTGAAGTCACGTACACGAACATGCCAACGAAATACGTGTACGGTAATACTCGCACGTCGTTGGTGCTACATACCACGGTGATACATGCACATGCTAGGTGCATGTGGTACGCTTCCGCGACAAACTCAGCTGAAATTTATTTGTGTTTTACTTCGAAGTATTCAGTTTGAAGCCTAGCGAAACGTAGATACGTTCCCACCGAGACGCTCTGGTTTAAGCATCAGCGTAGCCGAACAGTGTAAGGCTGGTAACCATGACAAACATGCCGAAGAATACACCCAGCGCAACAAAATGAGTTTTGTCACCGGCAAAGCGGAATGCAGTTGGCAGAAGTTCCTTCACGCAGATACACACCATGATACCACAAACGAGGCCGAACAAAATACCTTCCGAGACGTGACCCATACCATTTCCGATAGCCAACCATGCAATCACTCCGCCGAGTGGTTCTGCAATGGCCGAAATGACGCACCACATTATGCCACGCCAGCGACTACCCGTGGCAAAGTAAATTGGTGCTGCCACCGCGATTCCTTCCGGAATATTGTGTAAGCCAATACCAAAGGCAAGCGAGAGCCCCACCGAGGAGTTCTGGATTGATCCGGCGTATGTAGCGATTCCCTCGGGGACATTGTGAATGCCAATTGCCAGCGCACTCAACAAACCCATTCGTTGGAGGTTCTCCTTGGCCGCATCGTCCATTTTGAAGTACACACCGGCGTTCATATTTGATGTTGTTTGACTTTCGAGTTCCACCATCGGAGACCCGATGGTCTGGCCTTCTTTGGAGTCGTCAAATGCCATCGTCTCTTGCAGGTTCTCCAAATTGTCGATCTCCGTGTGGTTATGCTCCGGTGAGATCATTTTCACCACTCCGTCGATCAAATAGATCAGTCCAATGCCGACGGCAGTGCAGCAAGACGCCAACAACCAGCCGTGACCTGTCGCGGTGTCCTCCGACATGTCGTCCTTCTTAACTCCTTGAGCCAGGGACTCGACAGACTCACCGAAAATTTCGGCTAGGGGAATAAAGAGCATGACACCCGCCGAGACACTAAGGGCAACTGCGAGACTCAGCGGGTTGGCGAGATACACGAGCCGTTTATGGAAGACGACCATGCCACCCAGGATCGTGGCGGCCCCGGCAGCGATGTTAAGAGCGAAGGCAACAGCGACGGCATGACCCGTTTGGACCATTGTTGTAAGGGAACGGATGCTTGAGTAGTAAGTAGGTTGCAGATTTGATAATGAAGACTTGCAGCGCTGCGTCTGACACCGATCTAGGAAAAGACTACTCGGGTTCTACTTGCGTAGCGGTACGATTGAGCTAAAGACATGACTGTATATACATGTAGTTAAAAGACCCCCGACTTATTTGCACACCGATGCCGGTTAGATAAGCTGAATCGCTTACAAACCCCGATACGATTGCGATGGTCAGTAGCGGCAAAGACTCAACATGGTTCCACTTGGGTGCAGCCCGATTTCATTGGGTCGAAGCACACACGCATTTGTTGCGGTTCTGTGAAGCATGTCGACTGTTGGACTGACATAAGCTTACGATTTTTTTTCTTTCAAAACCTTTTGCGTGCCATGCAGCTCCGTTCGTAGACAACGTACCTGGCAAGGGACTCAGGGCTCAAGACAGAGATTCAATTCAATCAAGAAATTCCAGACTTACATTACACGGCCAAAACACTCACTCTGTTTTCGACTTTGTTTTAATTTCTAAGTTCGCTTCCATGAGTAATCGCTGGCTTGTCCGTCTCCTTTTAAAAGATCTGGTTTACCGGTGGATTAAAACGAGCACCGTAATATCCCCTCTCCCTCAAACACTGGCACATAGCGTGCAGCAGTGCTAGACTTAAAACTTGAGAAATAGCGATGCCAGGTGACCTAACGATAGGGCGCCTTTTACGTGGATGGAATCTGTATCAGCGTCCAGTCGGCTACAAGGCCATGCTGGGTTTGGCTTTCTCGCCAGGTTTTATAGTGGGTTCCACAGGAAGAAGAAATCACTCGATAAAACTATTCTTCTACCAGCTAAAGGAAATGGCGTCTGCCACTCTCTGATATAAAAACGCTTCACCGTACCAGGTTCACCTAAATAAAGTTTGCTTATCAGTAAGAAAACACTGTTAGTAAAATTTATATATATTGTTGCATTTACTGCACCTTAAAAAAAAAGAAAACAATCGCGAAATTTGCTCCTTAAAACCCCAGAATTAACCCTTTTTAACCCGATACAGTGCCCCCGCTCTAAAATAGTCGGAGAGTTGACAGGTACCTTACAGTAATCAAAAACGCAGTTGCACTTTAGCAACGTGTAAGCCCTTTGACGCGGGACGATGAGGACGACCGGTAAGATTCCACTCACATCTGATGGGACCCTGAGATGGTACGCCATCAAAGCCAACACAACGCCGAACAGCAAAAGTAAAATGATTTCCCAGCATACCATGCGATGTTTAATTCGGCAACAGCGAGGAATCTGTATGGAGTTTGTTTACCATGGTCACAGTAAGCAGTGCTTGCCATTCTCCTGATAGCTTATAGTCATATCTGCTGCGGCAAAAGCGCCGCAGCGCCACTGCAGGTAGTACATGTACAGGCTGTTGCTGTGATGATAAGTGGCCTTCTATTATAGCGCGTAGTATGATTTGCATGTGTATACAGGCTGTTGCTATTTATTAGCCTGAAGTGCGTCTAAGCATATTACATGTAGCAAAGAGATAACGCAATTCATTGCATTATTCCGTAAGTGTCCTTTCACAAGATACGTTTTCAAGTTTATTTGAAACGACGCACACTAATGACCTGTGTCAATAAGTTGGGAGGTCGAGCACTGCTTGTCGGTGGTGTGGCAGCGTGGCTGACAGCCATATCGACGGGGGAGGACTGGTTTACGAAGGACTATTTGTTCGTGCTAGCCGTTGTGCTTGTGGTTTTTATCGGCGGGTTTCGCAAGGCCAAATACGAGAGCCTGGCACTACACGAAAAATTACAGCGAGGTTAAACCCAATAATCTTTATTCGTTTTTACTGCAAAGTTTGACTTACAAATTCACCGTGTCATTCCAGCACATGATCTTGAAAATGTCGAGTTCATTCACAATGACCCAGTGCAACTGAAGCAGAACAAGGTTACCTGTATTCTCTTCTTTGTACGTGCCCCACCATACACTTTTTTATTGTAAAACTGCTCAGCCGGTGCTAATGACTGCATAGGGGACGTGGTGCAAGAAATCTCGTGAAGCTCTGGAGGTGTTCGGCTATCTTCACGAAAAGATTTCACCCAAAGGTACCACCGACAGCTCTCTTTCTTACAATTTTTTTTAAGCATGTTGCTTTTTTTTGCCTTTTCAGGAATTGTTCAATTTGTTGGACTAACGCAAGAATCTCGTGAAGAGCTGGCAGCGTACGAGGTCAAAGGTCGCAATGCTAGCAACTTCCGTGAGCTCAAGAAATTCAAATTCAGTATCGGCATTGAAACTGGTTTCATGAGCAAAGAGTTCGTCTCGCGATGAAATATAAAAAGCAAAAAAAAACTGCTAGAAAGCTGACGCTTTTGTAATGATGCAGATACCTCGTGAGATGCGACCTCTTCACAGTGCCGCAACTCTTCATCGTCGGTAAAAACAAGAATATCCTGTGGTTTGGCGACCCGTGCGCCAATGTTATTGAGGTGAGATATTAATTTTTAGTCTGTTCGACGTTCAGGTCTCATTTTCTTTTCATGTGAAATGCTAGGCACAAATCTCTACGGCCCTGGAACAGGACGACGAGAATCTCGAGATGAATACAACCAAAACTCTGCCCAATGCTACCTGTGAGCCGGAGGGGGCGCAGCAAAGTAGTGCAGCCTAGCCAGCGTGGTGGTACTACTAAATTACTGCCTTTATAAAGATTAGAGCAGCTAACGTTTGTGAAAAACGGTAGCCCAAACTTTATTCACGTCGTAAACTTTGTCAAGTTAAAATGTGGTCCACATACCACTACGAGCGTTGCACAAGGCGAGAAGTTCTGTGTCCGTTCTCGCCGAGAACGGACGTTTTTCCTGCGTCCGCGTGCTGAGTAAATGCAATAAGCGTCCATGTATTTCATTTTTAGTGAAGCGCTAGATATTGACTTACAATTGACAGCAGTAAAAAAGTAGTTGCAGCGTTTGCTCATTGTAGGAAAGAACACCCCCAAAAAAACTTGCATCGTGTAACACGATTCGTGTTGTGCCAGGTACAATGAACGTGAATATTGAACGATGTTGAAGTGGTGTATTGCAAACACATATACTTGAAAGCCAAGTGAACACGTACTCAGCTCATGTCTCTAGCAAGTGCTAGAAGTGTGCAAATTGGATCAATCTTTGACACGCTTTCGTCTTGCCGGCCCGAAAACTTCTGTTCATCTTTTCGATCTCTGTTGGCCAACTCCTCAAATTGTACCCCACCCTGCTATAAAGCCCCCTGAGGCATGAAATGGAGTACCCCTGGGGCACTGTAATTCAACCACAGTCTCATCATCAAGTGAACATAATTCACCGTCGGTGTGCACTCAAAAGCCTGGGCGTCCACATTTTGGCGGTCTCTCCGTTATGGAGCCGCTTCGCCATCATAAGTGGAAATTTTTAAAAGCTCCACTACCAAACCTTGCGGAAGCCACAGCGATGCCTCTCTACGCGGCCGCTTCGAAAAGGTCTTCGTCTTCATGGTAGACCCCAATTCTTCGCGCGGAGCGTCGCTCTACAGTTTCTTCATTGCATGTGCAGCCTTCACCAGTTGCTTCAACCTACCGGTATTTCTACAAACGCTGGACGGTCAGAACCACCATAGTTCTGAGTCTGAGTACCCAAAACTTTCCAACGAGAGCGGCTACTATGACGCAGACCTTGTCTATATCATCATTTTCACCCCGGAACTACTCGTTCGCCTCGTCATTTGGCCATCTTTGGGGCGCGAACATGAATACCTCACCGAGCGACGTCTGAAGCCATTTCTACGCGCCTTTTTTAACTGGTTCGATGTCGCTGCCATCGTCCCATTCTACACCGACCTCATCTTCGTACTCCGACGAAAGGCAACGTGGCAAGCCGGCTTCGCTGTCATGATTATCATGTCTGGTACGCTCTTCTTGTCCATGTCTCTCGCTATTATCGGTACAGAGTTCGATCGCGCTTGGAAGCAGCACGCAGAGAGTGTCAAGAAGTTCCAGCAACTTCAATCAGGGTGCCGTGGCGAGGGACTATAATGTCGTGGCTGCTTTCGCTGGCGAGACGATAGCTTGAACTGTTAGGCTGGCGCAGGTGCCGATGGCGTCATCTGGCCAGATCTGCTGGGGGCACGACCACCACTAGAATGCAGCTCCGACACAACGTTTCGTGGGTGACATCAGGAGTTTGAAGGTGATGGTCACGCTTGCCAGGGGCATGGGAAGACATAGGAGTGTGATCAGCACACTACATAAAAATCACTTTTTCTCAGGGTTTTGTATGGTACAACTTCAAGCGCTCCTGACGAAGTTTTGCTTACAGTTAGTAAACAGAGTTTACAGTTTGCTTGCAAACTTTTCAAAGTTTTTAAAAGTTTATCGAGTTTAGGCTCTAATTAAGATCATGCAAATTAAATACCACTTTCTCACCTTCGCCCAAGTTCTTATAATCTTCTTAACCCGTCACAATTCTCTGTACGTCCTCGTATGTCAGAGGGAAGGAGCACGCTCCGAGTGCAGCAACCGTTCGGGAAGCTGTTCCACAGCCCCATCGCAGCGCATCACCCACATCTCCATCATTTGTCTTCCATGCACAGAGAAAACCGGAATTGAAGGAGTCGCCAGCACCTGTAACATCCACGACCCCCGTAGGGAAGCACCCTTGCTTCCACTGCTGCTGTGTCTTGGAGCAATAAGCAATAGCTCCACCAGCGCCCACCTTAATCACCGTCACCCCATTAACGCGCTCAGTAAAGTACGCCATCGCTGCGTTCACCGATTCGGTGTGAGAGATCTTCATGGCTTCGACCTCATTCGGCAAAAATACGTCGATTAGCGGGAACAGCTCGTCCAGACCGTCCCATTGCTCCGACGAGTCGTAGTTTATGTCAAGCGAAGTGGTGATCCCGTTCTCTTTCGCTTTTTGAAGCAGTGATTTCATCTTCGATCGCAGACTGGCGCAGCTGTAATATCCTGTAAGCACCATCGTCTCCATGAGTGGTTGTCAACAAGGAGCCAAATCTAAAACGTGTACCTCCAATGTGCAAATGATCCGCCGAGAGCACCATCTTCTCGTCAATATGCTGCATTCAGCCAGCATGCATTCGATCAGTTCACAGCTTCATACGCATCGGCAATTGCACTGTTGCCCCACCTCAACGCTGAACTTGTGGGCGGCTCCGTAGTGTGTGATGAAACTACGGTCGTTCTACAATACAAAGTCTGAGATCAGCCTCTTTTTTTTTTAAGCCTACAGCAACTATTATCTTCACGCACCGCTCCACTAAGAACAATGCAAACGCCCGTGGGAACGTTGTCTAGCATGGGGGAGCTCAGTACTACGTTGCGGTCGGCCAGATGCGTCTTCAACACGTTCGCGAACGAGTCGTTGCCTGCACCAGAGACGAAGCAATTTGCTAGAAATTAATTGCTGCGGTTCGTAGCTACTACAAATACATTAATCAAGGCAATGTACGCACCAACGGCGGTGTGTAGCGACACTTGCAGCTCATGGTGCGGGTTGAGGATGCTGAGGTTGGCCAGGTGCGTGGCAGTGTTGAGTGCTGAGCCGCCAGGTTGCAGCTCAATAGGTCGCGAGCACTCCACGTCGCTTCCCCACTGTGGCAACTGGTCGGGTGCCAGCGAACCCGCCACCACATCCACGAACGCGTCCCCCAGCACCGCAAACTTCACCTTCATCAGCTCAGGAATAAAGTAATACAGTAGCCTTTTGTTTTACACCTGATGTCACTAAAAATCCATAGTTACCCCGTTACAACGACACTTGTTCAACATATACGCATTAGAAATGCGTATCGCTCGGTGCCTCACGAGGAGCTTTTCGGCTGTTGCATCTCCAAAGGCACATAGCTTCAGCTTTAGTGGCTGCGGATTTTTAATCCCGTACCACTTAGGTGTCGCGCAGGGTCTACAGGATGCTGGTTACATCCAGGACAGCTCCAAGTTTGCCGGGGCTTCGGGTGGCGCAATTGCTGCTCTGAGCCTAGCCGCCAACGCGAGCATGAGCGACATCCAAGAGGAGACAAAGGCCATGGCCCGACTCTGTCACAGCCAGGGCACACTTTGGAAGCTCGAGGAGCGGCTACGCGCTACTTTTCATACAAAGTTTGGTGATTTGCCAGTAGAAACGCTGGCGCGGCGACTCACGATCGCGACCGAGAAGATGTGGCCCGCTAGAGTGATGGTACTAACCGACGACTTCCACTCGACTGAAGACCTTTGCGACGCGCTTATTGCCTCGTGCTATGTCCCTTGGTACCTAGCTAGGCGAGGCACATCGATGTTTCGAGGGGAGTATCACGTCGACGGAGGCCTCCTCACTTTGGTTCCTGATGTCCCTGGATACGTCAAAGTGTGTGCCTTCCACTCGCATTTGCTGCGTCGTGCTGACTACGAGATCAGTCCGTCGATCGATCCAAACTTTCCATTCCCAATTGTGCAATTGGCACGCTTCGCGATGATCCCACCGCAGATTGAAGTGCTGGATCGATTATTTGAGTTGGGCCAGAAGTCTGCCAATATCTGGGCGGAGAAGCAGATAAAGCTCTCAAATTAACTCAATGTGAAGGGAGAGCAGCAGAATCTATGGTGATAATGGTAACATGAAGATTATGCGTAGACCTTTGAGCGATAGCACGACCTGCGAGCTTACATTTGATTTTAGAGCAGCAGAATGTGATGCGAGAACCAACCAAGTGACATTAATACTTAGCGGAAACTGTCTCGCTTCGTTTCTTGGCTAGTTTTCTCTCGTCTCACCGTCAGACGAACTGGAGACAGAAGAAGAAGACGACGACGACGAGGAAGAAGAGGACGAAGACGATGACGACGAAGAAGAGGACGAAGAGCTCTCATTGCCAGCATCTTGAGTCGCCTCGCCGCGGTTCTTCTCAATCTCAAGTTGCAGTCGGCTCTCCTTGGAGCTGTCAGCAGAAATCACAGCTTTGGCCTTGGCTTGCTCACTCTTGGCTGGCTTGGACCCCTTCCCTGCAGAAGTAGCAGTCTTACTTTTGGTTGCAGCAGCCGTGGTCTTCTTGGTGCGATTGGTTGAAGTTGTCGGTTTCTTCTTCCCACTGGACGCAGATGCAGGTTTTCCGTTAGCCTTGCCATTAGTTTTGGCTCTCTGCACTGACGAAGGTCTTGCTTTAGCCTTCTTGGCAGCCCCCGAGGAGGCATCGCTAGGAGAATTCGATAAAGCTGGCGTTGTAGGTGCAGCAGATGTAGCAGGCTTCTTCCGACTTCGCTTTCGCGAAGGATGACTGAGGGTTCTCGAGCTGCTCACAGATACCGATGACTTTGATTCTAGGGCCTTCAGTGTGGCTTCCGACATCTTAAGCTTCTTTGCAGGCGGTTCCAGTGCTTCCATTAGTCTGCAAGGCATTAAACGGTAGCTGTGTTGTTAGCATCCACATATTTTATAGCTCGACAATGCGGCCATTATCGCGCACCTCTGTTGACGTCTTCTCTGCCTTTCCTCTTTCACCTTCAGCGCTGCTGCTTGCTGTACCTGCCTGAACTTTTCTTGCTCTAGCGCAGCAGCCCGCGTGTCCAATAGCTTAAGCTGACTTGGACTAACCTGCAACGAGGAGAACATTAAGCGTTAATTGCTACGTCGTCACACTGTGAAGGAAATCGCTCGCAATATACCAGCAGGTTGTTGCAATAAATAAAGTCCTCGGGGATTTTGCCGAAGGCACTTTGCTCCGTGAACAGTGTCGACAGCTTGGCGAGGTATGCCGGATACGGGTACTCGGTGCTATCCAGCTGGGTCTCCGTCAAACAGTCTGTGTAGCCTTTGCGTCGGTCTTCCTCCTCTTCTGCGAACAATATAGCCTCCACGTCCTCTTCGAATACGTCCGACTCGTCTGTGTATGCATCTAAGTCCTCCAGTTCCTGGTCTTCCTGAGCGGTAGATTCAACTCGTCGCTGTTTGACTGGAGACGACTGGGGCGTGGCCTTCTTCGAGCTAGTTTTAGACTTCACCACTTTCGACGGAGTTTTGGTCTTTGTCCGTCGTGGCCTCGTTGTCTTGCGCTTAGTGTCGATGGGTGGAGGTGGGCCAGGCGGTGGTGGGGGCATATCGGAGTCGTGCGGCGGCGAGTCGGGGGGAGGTGGAGGTTGCATCGCAGCGTGACTTTTGAGACTGGCACTGAGCGGCTCGTCGTCGCTGGAACTGTAAGAACTGGAGCTCGAGCTGCCACTACTGCTGAGGTTGCTCGCGCTCAGCTCAATCGAGTCCATGGCCAGGAGGTATTAGTGCGACGATGCGAAGGCTATTTTTAGTGCGACATCACTATTAAGAGGGAAATAAGATTTATGTGGACCACTCAAAGCGATAATTTGAAGTTGAAGTGCCATTTTCATTTCTAAGCGATTTCTAAATGTCGTTGGCCTTCTTCTCTTCATCCAGTTCATCGCCGTCGCTACTAATCAAACCGAGCATGTGGTGGTTCTGGCGAGCCCACATCTCAGCGTACTTGCCTTCGACGTCGCGCAGCAGCTCCTCGTGCGAGCCCTGCTGGATCACGTGACCCTTGTCGAACACGATGATCTCGTCGGCGTCCTGGATAGTCGACAAACGGTGAGCGATGATAAGCGACGTTCGGTTCGCGCCGATGGACGCGAACTCACGCACGATCTCTGATTCCGTCTCCGAGTCGAGAGCACTCGTGGCCTCATCGAACAGCAGGATTGGCGAGTCTTTCAACATCGCACGTGCGATCGACACTCGCTGTTTCTCGCCGCCAGAGAGCTTCAATCCGCGCTCACCCACACGAGTATTGTATCCATCCGGGAACGTTTTAATGGATTGGTGGATCTGCGAGACACGAGCAGCATTCATGACCTCCTCGGATGTGGCATCCAGACGTCCGTAGTTGATGTTGTAAAAGATCGTGTCGTTGAACAGCACGGTGTCCTGAGGGACGATAGCAATCGCCTGACGCAACTCGTCCAGACTCAACTGTCGAATATCTTTTCCGTCAATGAGAATCGTACCGTTCTGAGGATCGTAGAAACGGTAGAGCAATCGCAGCACCGTCGACTTTCCGGAGCCACTCGTGCCAACGATAGCAACACGCTTGCCAGCGTCCACCTTGAACGAAGCCTTACGAAGAATCGGCAGCTCTGGACGGTATCCGAACTGCACATCACGGAACTCAATCGACTTTGGTCCTCTGCCTGACAGGCTTAAGTTCTCTTCCGGATTGGTGATGACAGGCGTCACAGCGCCAAGTTTGAACATTGACTCCATGTCCGTGACTGATTGACGCACTTCACGGTAGATACTGCCAATAAAATTCAGCGGGATCGACAGCTGGAACAGCAGACCGTTTACCAGCACTAAGTCACCAACACTGAGTGTTCCAGCAGCGATCCCTTCACACGCCATGTACATGATAGCAGTAAGACCAACACTAAAGATGCCGTTCTGTCCGGCGTTTAGCATGGCCAGAGACGTTTGTGTCTTGAGCGCCGCGTTCTGGTATCCTTTAAGCGACTCATCGTATTGCGCTGTCTCGTGCTCCTCATTATTGAAATACTTGACCGTCTCGTAGTTCATTAGTGAGTCGATAACCTTCGCGCCTGCCTCATTCTCGAGGCGGTTCATCTCACGACGAATCTCATCACGCCATTGTGTAACCAGCACCGTGAACGTCGTATACGCAGTTAGCGTACCGAGTGTCACACCCGCGTACGGCAGTCCGAAGCTGGTAGCCATGATCGTGCTCACGAGTCCAATCTCCAGTACCGTTGGCACCACTCGGAAGGCCATGGCACGCAGCACAAAGTCAATTGAGCGCGAACCACGGTCAATAATGCGTGATAGGGCACCTGTCTGTCGGTCTAGGTGGAACTTGAGATCCATGGCGTGCAAGTGCTTGAACACACGCACTGCGACTTTACGGATAGTCTTCTGTGCCACTGTCGCAAACACAGCATTGGCCAATTCAGACGACGCGCTGGCACTGAGCCTCGCCAGACCATAGCCGAGCACCATCGCCAGAGGCACCGCGATCTCGGGTGAACCAGCCAACATCGCGGAGGTCTCACCCATGCTATCCACGAGCTCTTTAAAGATGAACGGTACCTGGATGGTTAGAGCCTTGGAGGCAACCACAAGGCCTGCTGAGATGAGCACCTTTTTCTTGATCTCCTTCGCCTCCTTAGAGTCATCGCTGGGCCACAAATGACCCATGAGGAAGCTCAGGATCTCTTTAGCCGTGTCAGGAGGGCGATCCAGCCCCATACCGCTTAGCGCATTCAGAGCATTGGGCTTCGTCATCAAAGGTGTGGTCTTCTTCTTGTTGTTGTCCTCGTCCAGCGACGACGTCGTGAAACTCAGCACGCCATTACCGAGCGCAGGAAGCGCGAGCGATGCTGGACGACGACGGCCAGCCCAGAAGGACGACGAGGCGGGAGCCCGGTGCACGGCCTCGAGACGCCGCACGCCGCGTAGGAAGATACTGCGGCCGTGGAGCAGCGACATGATCAATGCGACGCAAGGTCTGAAGTGCCTGTCAAGACGCCGACGCACGCGTACAGGAGTGATGGTCGATTAGTGACAGATTGCGTCATGATTATTTTTCAATTTGAATTGGTTTAGTTATCGAATATAACAGTATCACTAATGTACGCAAGAGATTTATAGTTAGTCAGACCTCGTGCAGCTATAGATTATACGGATCTATAAAAGATGACAGAGGATAAAACCCTCTAATCTTGGCAATCACGACCAGCACAGCTTCTAAGTATTGCTTTGCGGCATATTGTTCAGAACAATTTGTTCTGCCCAAATTTTAAGCTGGCATTCTTGCAAACAGTGACAGCTTTCCTGCAGATTGAACAGATAAGCGTATCGTGTTTATCACCGTTAGGCGGTTATTAATAGTCTCGGCAGTCCTCCATGCTCGAAGTATAGCATCACACTTCTTGTCGAGCATCGGGCAACGTTCCTCCCAAAGCATTCACATTCAACATCCACGACGTTCGGCGATACATTTACGCAAGCCCTCCAGAATGCTTATTCGATGAATAGCGTGGTAAGGTAAGTTGCGATAGTGCTGCGACTCTCCCGTTCGGTACAAATGCGAGGCGATGTACTGGAAGCCCGACCACCGCTAAATTATATAACTCGAACGCTACCAGGTTGCTAAACCGACGAATACACGTAGTGACGAAAAGCTAAGACTCCCAGTGGGAGCAGTATGGGATAATAAGCGGGTCAAGAAACTGAAGAATCATGTGAGTTTCGCTCTCCCTTCCAGTGATACCCCTATGGCAGCATCCGATTTCCATGAATGGATACATAAGCAACTTGCAACTTGCAACCCGCTGCACATGCACCCTCTTCACCGAACAATGCTTCCACAGAAGCGATAGATCTTAGCAGTACCAATTTACCACGAATACCCAGCAAGCACCAGAAAAAATCGCTTCTTTGTAAGGCAAGGACCGGATCTTGGCCGACGATAAAATTGACTGCATCAATGTCGTGTTGAAGAACGAACTTTGCGCTTCGCAAACCCGAAAGCGTGCTCAGATACGGTAATGTCGTTGTGATCGTGTGGTCATGAAAAACGGATTGCATTCCGAAATTGCCTTGATGTGCGTATATTGTGTGACAACGAGCCGTGGTTCGAGATAAACAACGGAAAATTGTGATCGCTCAGCGATGGAACTGAAGAACGCTGATAATTTTCCACGAGCATTATTCTTCAGAAGGCCGAGAAGGCACACCGTTTTAAAATGCAGGAGGAAATGAAGCACCAATAACAGCTATTGGCAATAACTGCCAGGACCGTATGCTCGCAGGTTGCGAGTCGCAACAGATCTATTTCCACCACCACCCTGTTTTATCTCATGTTAGGAATTTCTTGCACGCTTCGCCGTTCTCAGAAGCGTTCGACTGGGAAAATTGCGTGCGTCCGTCTATAAATGATCAACACACACCATTGATTTCAACATGGGAACTCGCGACCAAGCAGCGAGGGCAGGCTGAAGTGCATTTTTAAATTTGCTAGCTTGCGATTCAGCGCTCCTGTTTCTCAAGCCTCAATGCGTTTCGCAAGTATTCTCGTCGCTGTTCTTGCCGGTGCCAACCTTGATGGGACATTGGGCGAAAGCTGCCGCGTTGTACCTCACGTAAAAGTCATGAGCTTCAACCTTCGCACGTCGCTTGCCAATGATCCATGTCCGAGCGGCTGCTGGGAACAACGCAAATGGCGCGCCAAAAAGCTTGTGGAGAAGTATGGACCTGATCTCATCGGCACCCAAGAAGGAGCTCCTGACCAAATCCAGTTTTTCCAAAATGAACTTAAGCTCGCGAGCACGGGCGACTGCGCGGGTGACTGCCAGTGGAATGAACGCGACAGCATTTTCTACAAAGCTGATCGCTGGGAACTGTTGGAGACGTCCACGTTCGCTTTGGTACGTAGCTGACCTTTAGTTTCGGGAGAGTTTTGATTATCTGACTAAATCGCTTGATTCCTGTGCTGTTTCATTAGAGTGATACCCCCGATTTGATTCCCTCAAATACATGGAACCTCCAATACCTACGTGCTGCGGTCATCGCACGCTTTCGTGACAAGACTTCTAGCCGTGTCGTGTGCATGCTGAACACGCACTTTGACATAAGCCTCGGTCAACCTCAGTCATCTGTTCTGGTCGCGAACCGATTGAGTCATCTTTGCCAGTCCGAAGACACGGTTATTATGACTGGAGACTTGAATACTGTCCCTCAGAGCTCCGCCGTTCAGTATCTTGCTAATGAGGGCCCCATCGATGGAGGCTACACTCCAATACCGATGTATGACACACTGACTGCTGCGGGCTCCGGGGGGCCTACATGGATTGGATCTTCCTTCGGAAGCATACCAGCGGGAATTAAGTTCGACTACATTTTCTCTCGGCGCGACGACCACACTTGCCTGCGTAACGGTACAATTTTGGCTGATACATTTGACGGCTACTCCAGCTCAGACCACGCAGTGCTGCTATCCGAATTCTGCCTAGGAACAAAGTGCTCGCATTGCATCGCGTAGTTGCTGTGATGGTATTACAATGTTCGACATGAGCCTGCCTTGAGTAGTACTAACTCAAATGATGTGCACTGTACTACTAGAGCACGCACTGTCAGTATACTATTCATACTAAATAAACTTGGAGATGTCCGACTTTACAATTATACACCCCGCAAACCTTGCGGCAAGGTGCTCAGGAGACAAGTTTCCGTTTTATTCCCTGTTGTCTCAGACAGCGCTGTCTTGAAACAAATATCTAATCTAAGTTGCCGAATCGATAATTTAAAGGCTAAAGTGGGCAAGCAGCAGCGAAGAGACTGCATTCACAAGAGAAAAAGTTTGCAGCGTGTGCCTTCCAAAATTAACAGGTCTATAATAAAGTTTTTTTCTTATTATAACATGTACTTTTTACAGTACATGTTAATCGATTATGGCAACCTTAATCTCGCAATCATTGATTATTTTCAAGATGGGCTGCACTGCTGCCGTGCCACTGCAGTCAATGCTGCTAGTGACTAATCCCCTCGTACTGTAGTAGTAATACATGTATAATACGGTAGCAAATTGCTACTAGCAATACAGTATTGCTAAAATAAATTATCTTTCTCCTCTCTCCGAGGAGATACGGTACAGTAGCCACATGTACTGTCGTAGTACTACATGTGGCTACTGTACTACTAGTACATGTGTGCAATACGGTAGCAATATTGCTAAAAAGATTATCTTTCTATAATAAAGTTTTTTTCTTAACATGTACTTTTTACAGTACATGTTAATCGATTATGGCAACCTGTCGTACACCACCTCTAGGGTCGGGTAGTCCGCGGCTGTTTAGGGAGTACGGTCTCGAGCAGTGGCAGGAACGGTAGCACAAGATAACTTCATACTCCAAAAAGCTTCTTGTTTCTTTCTCTCACTCAGCTTAGGCAAGAGGTAGTAAATGTAAGACTGAGACTAACGAGGGCCTACCGCCAACTCGCTTTCCTATACACGACTCCGCTTCAGTTTGTCTTGGTCAAAAGAGTCCTTCTCCATGACATCCGTCCTCGTGCGGCAGGAAGGTCCGAGACGCGGTCCACCTTGCGCATCCGGCCTTGTCCCCAGCCACGTAGGACGATAGGAGGGAGCTCACACACCGTTCCTGTACTCCATCGTAGCGTTCCAATACAATCACACCATAACTTCACCGGTCCCATGTGCGAAGTGAGTGGGAGCTTGCGGGGTCAACGGGAACCAGCCGCCCACCGTCGCAGCTCGTTGACCTTCGCCGAGATCCCTTGGCACAAAAGCCTGCCCGCCAGCGCCTGGCACGACACCTACATTCCCGGGTACGGGACATACTCCCCGACTTGGGGTTTGCCGTCCTCGGCGAACGGATGGCCAATGCTGGCGGCGCAGGCGACCCATTGTTTCGGGCGCACCCGACAGGTCGATAGGATGGTCCGACGATTGCTCGGTTCCATAGGAGTTACCCAGGAACGCTTCCGTAGTAGGGGCATCTTCTTCCGCAGCTTGAAAGTCGTGTTACACTTCGATACCATCCTTGTACCGCAAGCGTTCCAAGCAGAGAGCCTCGGCACGCCTACGCTTCGAAGCGTTCAGTTGAGTGTTAGCCAAAGCTTGACTGACCACACTCTGGGGAGCCATCGAAAGCAGCGGGTTATCCCCTTCGCACAGACGCAGAGCGTGCGAAATCACACCGGTCACTACGACGATAAGAGGCCCTAGCAGGTCCCAGCGAGTCCATTCGTAACAGTAGTCGTACGTCACTAGCAGCATAAGTCCGATGGCGACACCGATAGGTCCTTGTAGGACTAGGTCGTAGAGGTTAATAGGTACGAACAGCAGCAACGGCAGGCACAGCAACGCGACCCAGCAGACGAACTCGCCAACGCCATAACAACGAAGTAGAGTAGCCCGGCTGGCTTCCCATGAAGCGTTCCAGTAACGCTTCGCGGAGTCCTTGGTGTCCACGAGCACGTTAGGTAGGTACTCGGCGAAGGTGACCTTGCATGCCATCCACCAACTGCGGAGCATCCTCCCATAAGCACCGTATCTCGCATCCTCGTCCTGAAGGACCCAGGTAGGTGCGTTGAAGAAAACGCTCCACGCCGCGAAAGCGTACACCGAACCGCGTAGCTGGCGGAATTCACGGTCTTGCAGAGTGTGTCGGTAAGAAGAGGCACACTCTCCACAGATTTCGAGGTTCATGGATAGAACGCGCCAAACCTGCGTCAGGAACACCCACCCGACGCTCCTAATGGGAGTCTAAACACCCAGGCGACGATCACGCTGGTGTATACTGGCCATAACTCCCACCGCGCGTATTCCAGGACGAGGCTTGCTTGAACCCCCATTCCTTGTGAAGAACTTTCACAAATGAGAAGAAGACACGTCCGACTCCGCCGCGTACCGTTCCACCAACTGCGTGGTCATTGCCCATCAATCGGTCACAGTCGACACCTGGGAGAGGGCAGTCGACAACCAACGGCGAGGTTCTCGAGAAACGCCAGAGAGACGGAGGCGGCAACCAGTCTGTCAATTTTCCGCCTCATTCGGCAATTTGCCTCCACGCGACGCAGACGCCAACACCCGACGACTCGTCTCCCAGCACCAACACCAGCGGCATTGTCGGCTCCGGCGATAGGATCGCTACAAGAAACTCCATGAGGTCGTCGAGGCGGAGTTCTCCGACTCGTCTGAAGGAACGCCTCGACCGCAGGACTCCGCCGCCGATGTCTGCTTCTGGCTGGCGATTCGCGACGTGCTCGCCATCAACGAAGGAACGGTGGGGATGGAAATACTGGACGAGATAGCGGCGGCCATCATCCAGGGCAGCGGTAAGGCCAGCGATGCCTTGACTGGTCCAGTTATGATCCTGCCTTCGCCCTCGCGACAGCACGCCCGCGGAAACCCACCACAGGATAGCCGCTTCGCTAGAGTCTCGCTCCCAGCGCCACAGAATGCTAGACCGGGCTCGGGAAAGAAGAAGACGCAGGGCTCTCAAGGCACGTCGTCGCAGGGGCGCAAGGACCGGTCTTCTCCTCCCTTCGACTTACCATTCGAGCTCGCCGACAGGACTCCCCCGCGGGTGCGCCACGATCTCGAGAAGATCTATCAAGAGGCCGTTTTGCTCGGGCTGGAGCCGTTCATGTTGGCTTTCCCGTGGAGAGGGTCCGTCCTCTGGTACAGCCCCTTCGATTTTCCTTTAGTGCACGTAGCGCATTGGCGCTTCTGGAACGGGAATCGCGCCCGCTTCTGGAACTGGCAGCTCAATGCGCCTCTCAAGAACTCCAGCGCGCGCCGCAAGGCTAAGATGTTGGCTCTCGTGGCCCGCGTGCGCTTCCTTAGTGTCTGCATTGAAACGTGGGGTTACTACGGCTTTCTTGAACTGTTCGAGAGGTGCACGAGCCGGCGTCGTTTAATGTGGATGGGCGGGCAACCAGGCCGGAACACCCCTGATGCCAAGTCGTACCGGGGCCCCGTGATCGACAGTTTGACTCGCCTATTTCAGCACGACCAAGAAGGTTACGTTCGACGCATCCGGGGCGCCCTGAAGCCTTTCGGCATCGACGAGGGCGGCTTTGCTACTATGACGGAGCTCTTATTCCACACTGGCGCCCTGGATCCGAACAGCGCGAAGGCAGACAGTCAGCTCTCGGATCGCGCCTTGGCTCGGGTACTTCACGACGTCAAGTCCAAGGCCAAGCACGCTTCTCATTGGGTTGGAGATCTCTCAGACGGGGTGTGGCACGCTCTTACTCACTGTCCACGCCTCAAGAAGTTGGAGGTCAAGGTAGCCCGCGAACTCCGCGATGGGACGCTCAAGGCACCTAGGATCGCTTCCTTTGATTCCTCTGAAGCTGATCAGGACGAATACGCATCGTTCGAGCGTACCAACGGAGCCTTCACCGCGTCTTGGGCAGGGGCCGAGGAAGAAGACGCTGAATCGGGGGAAGGAGGGTACGAGAACGAGGACGACGGACCCGACGGAGTTGACGGCAAAGACGCACGGGGCTACGAATTCAGTTCGGACGAGAGTGGGGCCGGTGGCTAGCGTCCCGTCAGGCGTCTGCACTTGTCATGTTCTCCTCCTCCTAAGTCGAAGAAGTCGGCCAAGCGTTCCACGTCACGCTCTCGTTCACCACGGCGTTCGTACAAGCGGAAGAGTCGCTCGCGGTCGCGCGAGCGTTCACTTACGCCCGAGCGACCTCCTTTCCCCAAGCGCGCAAGCGGCAAGCGCAAGGCTAGCATCTCGTATTCGGAGCGATCGCGTTCGCCTACTCCAGTAAAGAAGAAGTCCCGACGCACACTGTCGCCCAAGCGTTCTCGCCATCCGTCACAGTCTCGGTCACGATCGGCGTCTCCGGAGAAGAAGAAGTCGAGACGTACGCTTTCTCCTAAGCGCCCGGCGTCGCAGTCCAAGTCGTCGACCAAGCGGGATTCGGCGCAGGCCACTCAACAGCGTTCGGTGTCTAAGTCTCCTCCTTCAAAGGAAAAGGGGGCGGCGGAGACTGCTTCTTCGAAGCGCTCCAAGTCACGATCGCGTTCGGCCTCGCCTGCCAAGAAGACTCGACGCGCGCATTCGCCCAAGCGTTCGGCATCGCCGGCGGGGTCGTCGTCCAAGAGGGGAACTTCGCGGGTCTCGCGTCGGCGTTCAGCTTCGCGTTCGTCATTTGCGAAAGAGACAAAGAAGGTTTCGTCTCCGAAGCGTTCCCCAATCTCCGCCTCCTGAGACAAAGAAGCCCGAAGAGTCGCCAGACAAGCAAGCAGCGGAAACTCCGTCGGCCACCAAGAAGAATCCCGAGAGTCCCGAGGAGCGTGCCGAGTCGCATTCACCTTCGCCTAAGAAGGCTACAGTGTCTCCGGACCGTTCGTCGTCCAAGTCGCCACCGTCGAAGAAGTCAGCGTAGTCACGCTGACCAGCGTTCCTTTCCCACGCCCGCAGTGATCCAGACCGTCCCAATTAGAAGCGGGTAGGAGAAGTAGTGTCGTTTCATAACTGATTTTTCGTTTTGTTTTTCTTTCAACAAGCCGGAAGCCCAGCCTCCTTCCTTCTCGTGTCTTCGAACGCTTTAATCAGCGCGGCGTAAGTAGGCAGTAGAGTATTTCTTGGTCTCCATAAAGTCTCGT